AATAAAGATTTGAAGATTCACAAAAAATAATCGTTATATTTTTATTTTTTTTCGATGATTTTGTCATAAATCTAAGTTGTAAGTGAGTGGAAAAGTGACTCTTCTAATTTGGCAGAACTATACTCTGAGGTAAAATTAAATTTTAATTCAGGAATCTGTATCAAAGTATATTGACACAGAGACTTGGAGATTCACAAAAATAATCGTTACATTTCTGTTATTTTTATTTATAAATCTAAGTTGCAAATGAGTGGAAAAGTGACTCTTCTAATTTGGCAGGACTATACTCTGAGATAAAATTAAATTTTAATTCAGGAATTTGTATCAAAGTATATTGACACAGAGACTTGGAGATTCACAAAAAATAATCGTTATATTTCTGCTATTTTTATTTTTTTTCGATGATTTTGTCATAAATCTAAGTTGCAAATGAGTGGAAAAGTGACTCTTCTAATTTGGCAGGACTATACTCTGAGGTAAAATTAAATTTTAATTCAGGAATCTGTATCAAAGTGTATTGACACAGAGACTTGGAGATTCACAAAAATAATCGTCTTCTGTTATTTTTACTTTTTAGACATTTTGTTGTAAATCTGTCTGATTCACGCGACAGTTACTACAACTAGTAATCTGAATGTAAATTTTCATACGTTATCTTATTTCATTTTTCCACAAATGTATATAATCAGTGCCCCAGTGACACTTGCAACAGCACGTGTCACTTTTCCACTTGTAGTCCATCAAATATATCCGCGACTCACCTGCTTCCAGTCGGCATGCATTTGTTCGATACAACGCTTGATTTTCGGCTTGCGCACTGTCAGAGCCCAATACTTCATCAGAGAGACTAAAGAGTAACAGGCGAAGCCTAAGAGCCTCAATCTTAACAGAGGATCCTTCTGGTCCAGTATAATGTGTAGCACGCACTGCACCACACTAAAGAGCAACGCTAAATTACTCAGTCCGATCGCGATTCTCGGTAGAAACTTGCCGATGCCTTTGAACACGGCTGGCCAAATCCCGATTGAATTTAGAATCCATCTGCTGTGTTTCGTTACGTAAACGATGTCGTCGTCGTAGTGTGGATTTCGCGGTTGATCGGCGTGATCTCGATCGGGCTGATGCATGTTCGCAGGCAGCGCGAAAACGACTGTTTTAACGTGTGGTGTGGGTGCATTGATTGCGAGGTTATTGAGCTTGCGCTCGTGATATCGCGTGCGTGCATCTGTATCATTATAGTTGCAAATCGATTCATACTTGTGGAAAGAAGCGAGCGTCTGGGATTATAGCAGTGGGTATAAACAACGGTTAATAGCTAGTTCTCTAAGGTGAATCGAAGGGAGCGAAAGCTGGTATATTGTGCTTAAGTGCTCGACGATTATATTAGATTGTATTACTACTATTCAAATGGTTGCTGTGATACGGGAAATAATGTTTTGAATTAATATGCTATTTTCGAAATACATACGAGTGTAATATATGGTGAAATTTTAAGTATTCGTGTGTTCTTTTCTACTTGCAAAAATTTATGAAAAGTTTATGCCCTTTTGTTCGAAATGAATTCTCTGTTCCTTCGATGAAATGGTGCAAACAAATAAAAGTGTGCATCGAGACGTAACAAATGGGCTGTTAATAGGAACAATTGAAATTCATATTTTACATGGTTTTAATATTCAAAATTACTCAGTTTCATACTGAACGTCTGTCGTAATTAATTCTGAGTTTACGACTTGAGCAAGTTTTTCATTAACGAACCAATAAGTGTTTTAAGCAAATTTAGATAAACTAACGACGTCTTTCTTAAAAATTCTACAAAGATTTTATCCTTTTATTTCATTTAGATTATTCGCTATTTCTATATTCGCTGAAACTTCTTTCAAGAATAGAAATTTTCGGAGCTGAAAGTGTTGAGAGATAATTTGATTATTTTTCTAGCCGTAAGTTTTCGTGAATTGAGATATAGAAATCAGTAGAATCACATGATCACGTACGATAACAGCAAAACACAGTTACGGTTCTTTACCAAATTTTGCAACCTTGCTATTTGTATTTGAATTTGGCCACAAAAACCGCAATCAAACTGTGCTGATATCTATATAACTACAGTGGCGAAACAGTGAAGAATGAACACGATTCTGTAGATAGGGATTGGACTGTGTATGAAACAACATAAGCCAATAGTTTAACACTAGAATTACTAAGAACTAAAGTATAGATTTTTTAGAAACATTGAAGAGAAAAAAAAAAAAGAAAATAGAGAAACTGAAAAATACAATAGAATACGCAAGCTTTTATTTGTGTACTTTTCGAAAAATCATTTAAATCTCTAAAAATATTTTTAGTTTTACATCCATGATATATCTATCTCGGTAGTTCTAGTGTTAATCGTATAATTCTGTCTAGATTGATCCTTGGACAAGAGCTGCAACACCGTGTGATACGACATTCCATCAGTGTGTATAAAAACAACGCACATCACGATGAGTTTTCTGCTGATTGCCGTTTTAACATGATCGACCGATGATTTGGATCCTTAGATCCTGCACCCTCTTCCAGTTATTTTCGAGATGTTGGCTGCACTTCTCGAAGGCGGTAAATTTCTTTCAAGCCGAGGTAACACTATGTTTGACCGTGCTGTATAAACAGAAGTGAATTGGATTCAATATTTTTATTTTCATGCGGGTATTTTTCTTTCTGAAGAAGAAGTGATGGCCAAATGGCAAGGTGACGAAGAATATGTCGAAGAAGCATATGGCCATCTAATTTACTAGCGTGGCTGTCAGTCCGATTAGTTTCAACAGCCATTGACATATCTGCAGCATGTAATGTATGTCGCTCTCTAATAATTGTTCCTCCGTTTACTGCACTACACAACTTTGATGTGTGATGTGTGACACATATTGATAGCTCCAGTGCATATCGTGCATTGATCGGCAGGACAAAAGCTTTCGACATTGTCAGAACGCAAGCGCGTGTTGTTTTTGTTGGTTTTTTGTAACCCTGTACGATGAAGTTCAACCACCTGTGTTTCATGAATGAGAGAAGTAGATTCGAAGGGGAAACTTTCGTCGATAATAGGTGAGCATTCATGTTTCTCTTTTTGTCTTTTAATAGGTTTTCTATACTCATTGAAGAAGTAGTCGACTGAAATTATAGTAGAAAGAAACCATAAGTGTTTGTGTTACATTTTTTCAATTGTTTTTTGAGGTAAATGTCTGCTCTGTTAAAAAAAAAATGATGTTATATCTATTACGCGAGTGAAAATTATATCGTATCTGTTGTAATTTATAAAAAGGAACGAATCATAGACAAGCAACATTTTGCACATCTGGAAATGTAAGATCAAAATTTTATCGTCAGTGGATCGTAAAGAGAAGAAAATAGTAAACATAGAAAAAAATCGAAAATTCTTGATATTTATAAAGAAACTAATTAATTCTGTTTTTAAGATTCGGATATTTACTGTCATTTTGTCTGCTGTGTATATCAGAGATTAACATCAAAATAATTCAACAATAAACTTCATATTTGATGCAGAAAATTAAATAAATTACGCAGAGAGTCAGGTACATCTTCAATGTCATACTTGGAAAAGGATATCTACAAAATTATGATTATCATAAAATAATAAAACACTTAGGACATTTATAATAATTTTATAGTTATGTTAAAAAAATGCAGGTTATATTACCAATCCGTAACTGTTCGCAGTAAGTTCAGATAAATTAACGACGTTTTTGCTACCTGAAAATAATCAAGTGCAAAAATTGGTAAAACGTTGTTATTAATACTATGACGAGATTATAAACTCACGGAGCTAAAAGTGTTGAGAGATAATTCGACGATTTTTCCGGCCGTAAGTCTCGGTGGATATTGAGATATAGAGATTAAAAGAATAAGATCGTAAGCATCCTTAGCTGGTAAATTGTACCATTCGATTTTGTAAGAATTTGTACCGATTTGCCTACACTAATTATGATCATTGAATACTTAATGAAACAGATAATGTTTCAATTACAGAAATTCTTTTGCAACTACCTGTTCAGAGAGGAGTTCGCCTATGTAACAAAATATAAATATATTAAACGTAAAGGAGATCAACAGAGTGACATAAGTCATTATCGCGATTGCGTCGTTGTTGCGCCATTCCTGAAAAATGTATGATAAATAACACGTTTCAACAATACAGTGAATGTAATTTTCCGAATTAATATCAAACACGTGTAGATACGTGTAAATGATTTAATTTCTTACCATCATGCAGTAATATTCAAGCAGACACATAATAATCGTGGACTCGACGATTTCCGCCAAGCATATTTCTCGCAAAGCTTCTTCTACATTTTTCGAAAATCTAAAATATCCATGTACTTGCTTCTCTAATATTTCCTCCGTATCATAGAAGGTACGTTCTTACCTTAGAATCTCCACATGATCGTGCACGATAACAGACAGAAGATCACGTTCACCATGCTCTCTGCCTTTACTCTTCACCAAGTCGTGTAGTCTTGCTATTTGTATCTGAATCTGTCCACAAATGTGGGTAACAAAGATCGCGGCCAAACTGTACGCAACTGTCGTGACACTGTACATGATCATTGCTGCGAAACAATGAACAAAGAACACGATTTCGTACGTAGGACTAGACTGAGTGTCCAAGAACGAATCGTAGCCAGGATAAGTCAATGGTTTGAACGTGTAATTCTTCCCTCTCCTGTCCTTCGACAGAAACTGCACTATCGTGTGATACGACATTCCACCACTGTACAAGAAAGCTGCGCAAACGGTGATGAGCTTCCTGCTGACTGTCGCGTATTTCAGCATGATCGTACGATAATTTGGATCGTGCACCGTTTTCCAATCCTTCTTGACGTGCTGGATACATCGTTGGAAGAAAGGCCCTTTCAGACCAAAGAAGCAGTATTTAATCGTAGACGAGAAACAGAAACCAACTGGGCCGAGCAGTTTCACTTTTATATCCGTCTTCTTCTCCACGAAGAAGATGTAGTGAAAAGATGGTAAAACAATGAAGAGCAAACTAGAGAAGCACGTGGTCATCAGAATGGTTGAGACAAGCT